CAAAAATCTAATTGATATAGCAAAAAAATTAAATAATTTTATATCAAGTCGTGATAAATATCGTAATTTATTAAAAGTAACATTTTGTGAGATAAATTCAAATGGTAAGATAATTTCTATTTAAATTAATTTTTTAATTTTAGTAAAATTATAATATTTTTTTTTTTAATTTAGAAACAAATATTCGTATTTTGGATCCAATCGCATCTGATACAGAAATGCGTTGGAATAGCCTTTCTTTTTATTGGAACGACTTATTATTTCGTAATGCACTAGCTGCATTGGCTGATAAGCTTGTTTTAGATTCTGATAGGTCTACTCGTATTGATGGTGATAATTTAAAAAAAATTATTACTTAGTTCTGAAGACTGGACAACTTTAGAAGAATTGATTTTATTACTTCAACCATTTGAAAATGCAACTAATCTTACATCAGGTAGCACATATCCAACTTTTTCATTATGGTATCCAACATTATATTGTTTAAGAAATTGTCTTAACAAGATAGCATGCAATATTAAAAGTCCACAAATTAAAATAGTATGTAATGAAATTCTAGCCTCTTTATCTAGACGTTGGGATAATCCTGATGAATTGGGTTGTATTGCAAGTTTTTTGGATCCTAGATTCAAATTTTTAAATTTTTTATCAGAAGATCAAATAGAAAGTACTAAACAAAGTTTAAAAACACGAAATGAATTATTAGAAACACCTGTCTCAATACCAACTACTCCCCACTTAAATAGTACTTCTATATTTTTAGATTTTTTAATCAAAATATATCTTCGCAACCTCCTATATTCCCAATTGATACAGAAATTTCTCTTTATTTACAAATTCCTGCTCTTCCTGTATTTGTATTAGCTTTAAATCACCCTCATTATAATCTTCACGATCCTTTAAAATGGTGGTATGAAAGAAAAACTACCTTTCCTTTATTATATAGACAGGCTCGTAGGTTTTTATCTATACCTGCTACATCTGTTCCATCTGAACGACTCTTTACTGGTGCAGGTAATGTTATTACTGATAAAAGAAACCGTCTAAACCCTAATACTGTTCATGATTTGTTGTTTTTAAAAGAAAATGACCATTTAGTTACACTTTATACAAAGTAAACTTTTAGGACATACAAATAATATAATTTTATAAATATTTGTTTAATTATACTTCTCAAAAGTACTTTTAATTGAAGGAACATAAATTATTATGTAAATTTTTTGTTTATAAATTTTCTTTATTAGCAAAACCACGATAAAATTTTTTTTCGCAACTGATATGTAACGTATATGCAATATGCATAGCCCCTGAATGACTTAGCTGGCTAAGCTGACGACTTAGCCTATGATTTAGTCAGTTAACCATTACACTGTCAGCTTAAAACACTACTTGGAGGAATAAAATCATATTTGTCACGCTATTATATGTCATAAGGTTAATTTATTAAGGTCAAAGCCACGTGGGTGAAAATTCTTGTGGCGATACTATACTGGGTTAAATCTGGCTTCACTGTAAATGAATCAAGTTCATTCCCACTTTATATTTCGATTATGCATTAATAGTTCTTTCCTAGATTTGAAAAAAAAGAAAAATTTTATTTATTCATATATTAAATTTATCCTAAATTTAATAATCACGCGTTAAAAAAACTAATGTCTGCGTTTAGATTCTTTTAGATCGATGATTAATTCTTTAACTTATTAAATTTTAACAAATACACTCGAAACCTTTCATAAAATCGCGTTCTGATATGATTAAATGTTATTTTTAATAGCTAAGATATTTTTGTTATGAAATAAGAGTTGCGGAAAAGTATTATTAACATTTTAAATGCAAAGCATTGTCTCAAAACGAATGATTCCTAGGCAACCAATATTTTTTTTAATAATTAGTATCTAACAAAATCAATGAAAATACTGATGGATCCCTAAAGACTGATCTTCAACAAACTATTCGCTTAAAGATATTCTAATAAAATACATGCTAGTATAACTACCCGTAATAACTGTCTACTTTAGATTTCCATCATCTTCAAAGCATTCTTTAACTTTTTACATTATAGACAAATTTTATTGGCAAAAAAAATGTTTTAGTTTTTTATTTAGATAAATTTTTTATTTAAAAATCAATAAAGTTCATTTTGAATTTCTGATAATATTATATTGCTTAGTTTTTGATGCAAGAAACTATTTTCCCGTGCGATAATAAACTAAGATAAAATCCGGAATTTGTGTGACTTTGAATTATGATAATATTACATTAACCAAAAACAGTAAATTTATAACATTAATTTTCGATAAACTTCTTTTCTTTGAGTATTGGAGCAGAAGTTTTTAAAGATGAGGGATAGAGAAATGTTAAGGAATTAGGTAAATTTGGTAAGCTAGTTATCAGAGTATTTTCGCAGTTAAGATAAGTTAATAACTTTGGTAAAGTTGGTAAGCTGAATATTTGAGATACAGAACAACTGAGAGTTTTCAGGGAAATAGGTAAAGTTGGTAAGCTAGTTATTTTAGTATTATTACAGTAGAGTTCTGTCAAAGTGTTGGGTAAATTTGGTAATGTAAATATCAGAATATTAGAACAGTAGAGTTCTTTTAAGGAGTTAGGCAAGGTTGGCAAGATAGTTATTGGAGTATTTGCGCAGTTAAGACAAGATAAGGAGTTGGGAAATTTTGGAAAGCGAATTATTTGAGTTTTTTCGCAGTCAAGAGTGGTTAAGGAGTTGGGTAAAGTTGATAAGGTTATTATTGGGGTAAAACTGCAGTTAAGGTGTGATAAAAAGTTGGGAAGTGTAGGTAGGATTGTTATATTAATGCAATCGCAACAATGTAGCATTTTTAAAGAGTTGGGCAATGTTGGCAAGCCGGATATTTGAGTATTGAAACAACTGAGTACTGATAAGGATTCTGGTAAAGGTGGTAATTTAGTTATTGGTGTATAAGTACAATGGAGTTCTGTTAAGGAATAGGGTAATGTTGGTAAGCTTGTCATTTTAGTTTTGTCAAAGCGGAGCACTTTTAATCCTCGATATCTTTGCAATCCGCCTGATGTGTTTAATATGTCATCCTTATTGTGATCGGTAATGGTTAAACTATTAATGGTGTTTAATTTTAGCTGTTTAATTTTTTCTTCTAAATTATCATGTTTTGCTTCCAAACCATCAATAATTTTTTGTTTGACTTTCAACTTTTCTTCTTGCTCCTTAACATTATCTCCAAATTCAATAATAAGTTCTTGCATAATTATGACTTCTTTTTCGCGTTCTTTAGACATTTCTTCCAAATATCTAATAGTTTCTTGCTTGGCTTTAATTTCGTTTTCTTGTTCTTTAATCTTTTTTTTAATACTATTAATATTTTCATTGTTTGTCTCTCCAAGCTCATTTACCTTTTCTACTAAACATTGTAATTGGGAATCTAACTTAAACATTTCTTCTTCTTTCGTTATTAACTCATTATTTGAGTTTTTAACTTCTTGTGTTCGATCGTGTAATTCGGTTAATATCTCAGAAAGTTTCTGCCCTGCAAGTAGTTCTTTTAAATTATCCAAATCCTTACAACCTATTTCATTCCATACAAAGTTGAGAGTCAATTGATTGTCCTCATCTGCTTTCTCTAATTCTTTGATTTTCTTTTTCAAGTCTTTCAAATTACTTTTTAATACCATTTTATGATTAAACTTTTTTTCAGATGGAAAAGGTTCCTTTTTTTTAACGTATTTAATTAAATTCAGCCCTCGTCGATCTTTCTTGTTTTAAAAATTATCTTTTCCTCAAACAAACATTATTGTTTAATTATTACGAAATTATTACTCAGTCTATTGATTACATACAGTACATAATGTGATGTAAATAAAAGTTTGTCATTTTTATCACCTTTTCACTCAATTGTCACATTAAAATCTTTATGCCGAGTAGGGTTCGGAATCGAAAGTCAGAAAATCGTCAAAGTCGAAAATCGATTGTAATAACGATTTTGAATCTCAAACTCGGCAAAATCGTTTAATGATAACGAATTTTCGTTTCGTTAGTCCGATTAAATAAAAATCGGTTACACAGAACTGATAGATACCTACTAGTAATCAATATGGGCAACAAGCTAAATGACGAAATCTTGAAGCTTTAAAATAATGACGAAGTCGAAAAAATGGTAAAGATTAATTCATTAAGGATTCATTTTTTGTGTATCGAATCCTTAAATGAAAGTTAAGCTAAAAAAAAATGTCATTTGACGGCTTACAACTTATGAATAATTAATGCTTAAATATTGTTTTTAAAGTTTTATCTGTTCTACACTTAAAAAATTGAAAAAATTAATACCGATTTTACCGATTTTTGATTTTCATAACGCAGCCGATTAATCGTTTTCAAAAATCGATTTTTGCCAATTCGACTTTCGATTTTGATTTTTGAAACGATTCCAATCCCTACTACTACTTATTCCATCTTCGATAATATATAATACAAATACTAAAATAATTTAATTTTAAATTTATTAGGTTTATTATAATTATAATTACCTAGCATTTCTCTAATTGCAATTTCTTCAATACTTTGACTTTAAAATTTCATCTAATTTTTTTGATGGACGAAATTTAGATTAATTTAAATATTATTTTTTTTGACATTTTTTAAATTTTTTAAAATTTATAAAACTCTACAATATCATTTTTCAATTCTTTATAAAGATTTTATATTTAAATAATTATGCCAATTTTCAATAATATTTTAATTTTTATGCATATGATCTTTTAGTAGATTCATATCCCAACAATTGATTATAATTTTTTATATTTTAATGGAGTGAATTCCATAAGTGAATAAAACTAAATATTTTGTCAATAAAATATTTCCGCTAGGCTGTGCACAGGTTCAAGTATTTCGTAATGATAAAAAGATAAATTAATTTAATTGACATTAATTTTAACTGTCGAATTTGTTTGTTGTAATATTTGGATAGACATTAAAAGATTTAAATCACTTAAAGTTGACAAAAGCTTATGATAATAACGAAAGTTGGTTAGATATCATACTCCATTGCCATAAAATTCAAAGACTTTGATCAACTTAGAAATCTACAGGAATGAGTTGAGTTTTATGAGCTATTATCAATTATTGCCAAATTCTCAAATATATAATTTAGTTACACGTACTTAAGGATTTTAAGGAATTACAATAAAGTTTACATTTAAAATTAAATGCTAAAAATGAATGCTTGAAGAAATTTTATAATGATTATTATAAAAATTGACTTTTGAATTAACATCATAATTTTAATATATTGAAATATATTGTGATGATTTCTTGTTGAAGATAACTTCATTGAGGGATATTTTAGCAAAAAATTTTAAATAAAAAAATTGATTTGTATATGAATATGACCATTTCAAAGTGAAAAAAATTGGTATAACGAGAACAAATTACTTCTAGTTGATATAAAATCGAATTTATCAAGTACTAATAGAATTTATTTATAAATGCAATTATCTAATAGTTTTGGTAACATTAACAGTATATCAAAATTATAAAATAATACTAGATATACTATCAAACTTTCTCTATATAACGTTTGACTATAAACTGTTCGCTTACGAACAATTCATTAAGAAAAAATACGACGAGCATGTAATACAATATGGATAATCTGAATGGACAATAAAAGTATTTCTTCATATGGAATATTCTCTTATTTACATGAAAAAATGTGCTCAAAAAATTCTTAGATAATACAGTTGTAATGTAAATCAATCTATTTCTCTTTTAAATATTTGAAATATTTCTTGCTCTTCCACTTTGAAGCTTCCTTTTATACATCTAATTATGCCTTTATCGTAATATAAATTATTACAATAACCCTTGTCGAATCTAATTCTAAAATCTTGGCCAAAACATGGACCAAGATCGACAGAAGATCCAATTGCATGGTCGTAATCTTTTATTCTACTTAAAACAGCATCTTTTAAGTTCATAAATGTAAATGAAAATATAAAGCTTTCATCAGTTGATGAAAATTTTGTTATTTTGCTTGATTCCCATATCATCGGATTATATCCTCCAAGAATGTCATTAGATCCTTTCACTTTAGTAATAGTTACAGTTTTTGGTTTGTTGTCACAGAGGTTATGAAAAATTTCAGGAGTAAATCCATCCCGACTTCCACGTGATAGTAATTTAAATTCATAAGGATTATCAAAAGTATTATAAGGTGTATATCCGTATATAGGATGTATAGTTTCTTTTTTATCTATCCAACTTGCAATTATTGCTGCTATTTTATTTGTAATCAATTTCGAGTCAATATTTGAACACCCTCTTGCTGATTGAATCGTTGGAACTATCTTTATGATCATATTTTCGATATCTAAATAATGTAAATTTAAATCCTTAAAAAATTGGGCATTAAATAATTTTTGGTAAGGTATTACTTTTTCCGAGAATTCTTTTGATGACAATTGAAAGAATCTAATCAATGGTAAACAATTTTGCAAGGTATTTTTCATTGCTTTGAAATTGTCGTCTGACCAAGTTTCAGGATCTGGAAGTAAAGTGGGATTTCGTGCAAGTCCCCACTTCAATACATGATCCCAAACATCAATTTCTTCCATTCTTAAATCATCTCGTTTAATTAAAGTGATTAAAGGTTTTTCTGAAATGCAAGTAAAGTCAGTTGAATTGAATAATTTTTCGGGATATTTTGTCATAATATCTGTACAAAAATTTTGTAGTTCGATGAAATTGTTATGTTGAAATATCGTATTATGAATAAGAGAAAAATTTGCTTTCATCCATTTAGATTTATTCTCAATCAAATATGGTTGTAAATAATCAACAATTTCTTGTAATTTAAGTATTTCGGCTGCAACCAAGATATTAAATATATCTAAAGGATTCACTCCATCCAAAAAAAGCGTACCACCATAAATATATCTTTTAATTAAAGTATTCAAATTAGTATAACGAACGATTGAAATTCAAATAAACGTACAACCTTTTATTATTAATAACTTACTTTAAAATGATTTGAAAGACGTTAGGAGATATATTTTGTAATTTGATGTGAGCTAGAGTGTTATTGAAATTCTTTTCTGTTGTAGATAAATTTCTACGAAAGTATGTTGAACGGTAATTTAAAATAACCATGTGAGCTCGAAATATTCTCACTTCAGGGTCTTGTCCAACTTCAATAGTGACATCATAATATTCATCATCATCTAAAACACTAATAAAATTTTTGGATAACAGCGAAAAAAATTTGATTGACATAATTTTTATATTGTAATAAAATGAAAAGAAGAAAGAAAGAAAAAGTAGTTAAATTAAAAATAAAAATTATATTTATTAGTAAATTCGGTAGCACATTACATAATCTCATTTGTAAAATATGAAAATCTCCCCCAACGCTTTTTTCACCTCACGTGACTGAAATTGCAGATTATTTCAAAATGGTAATCAAAATTTACAGGGAAAAAAATTTTTTTTATTTACAATAAATATTAATCACCTCTCGTGAATTTAGGTATATATTAAATTTAGTAAAAATGCGTAAACAAGAAAAAACTAAACTGATTCATAATTTTGCATGCAAACAATTATATGCATGCGAAGATCTGAACAAACTTCCTTATTGTGAGTCGGTAATTTCTTGACCATAGATAATAATTTCGTATTAAGTTGGCAATTCCTGTTGAAACTCAACTTTTATGGATCCTGATCGTTAGAAAATCCAAATTTGGAGGCGGTGTAAGAGAAGTGGTTGCAATGTCAAATTTTCTTTTTTCTTTTTAAAAAAAAAAATTAATTTAAATTCAATTTATTGTATGATACAAACGTTACTGAAAATACATATTTTAATTAATTTTATTATATGATTATATTACTATTTGGCTATTAGAAATTTTTATTTTGTTTTGATTATTTAATTATTATATTAATATTTTTTATATTTAGCTATTTTGGTTATTGTGTATATAGCTATTTAGTTATTTATTTTATACCGTTAAATTATTTTTGAATATTTTGGTTATGATAATTTTCCTATTTTACTATTTGACTATTTTTTTGCATATTCAATAATTTGACTATATCTTTTAAATTAAATTTAGTAATATTTAAATAATTAAATAAAATTATTTTGTTTAAATTAAATATTTTAAATAAAACAAATATATCATATTAATTAACTAATATTATTTTAGAAATAATGAATTTTAATGAATCACTTAATAAAATTTGAAAAAATATATAAATCAAAAATTTGTTTTTAATTTTCATTTAAAAAAATAAGGATATAAAATATTTAAGATTCTTTAAATATACTAAGTAACGGAAACATTTAGAGTGTCTGAAGTGTTTAAAATATTTTATAATGCAATACAACAAAAAATTTTATATATATATATAACAAAAAAATTGATAACAAAAAAAGTAACACAATATGTAATACAAAAAATGTAACATTAAAAATCAAAAAATATCGATTGAACTTTATTGAGAACTTAATAAATTAACTGACCTTTACTGCTAATTATAGCCTTAAATACTTTAGAGTCTTTCAAATGAATAAATCCTAAAAAAAATATTATTAAAAGAACAAATATGGAATATAACTATAAATAAAAGCCAACAGCATATTCTTTTCTCTAAGATCTATTACAACCTTTTACAATTT